CAGACTAAACCCTGCCCTACACACCAGATTCATTCATTTGGAACAAGCCAGCACCTTGTTTCAACAGCAAAAGGTAACATTCTGACCAACAAGCACAGCTCAACATTCTTATAATCATTGACAGTTTCCCACAGCACAGTGTAGAAGTTATTTTTTTTGTAAAATGTTGGATTTTTTTCCCTCCCAGATGTTAGATTGATGTTTGTAGCAATGRAAGCAGTTTCAGGTGAGGATCTGAGCTGCAGGAATGTTTGCAGGGAGGGTTTGGCATGTTGTTAGATTAGATTAGAGAGACCTTTATTGTCATCATACAGAGAGCACAATGAAGTTACAGTTCAGAACACCCATTCAGAAGACAGAACATAACAAACATGGGAGAACAGGTGCTCTGGGTCATGCAGCCACAGACCCTGCACAGAGCAAGGATCATCTTCATGAAGACATCATGAGGAGGCGCTACCCTTAAGAGAAAAACTAAAAACCACACAAGGGAAGACGAGGGAAAAACCTAAAACATATTATATCAACACTGTGACACACTATGGTGTTTATAAAAAAAAAAACCTCTGCATAGAGCACATTTATTAGCCAGAGGAGTAAGTGAGTTTAGGGGGGCGTGTATCTGAAGCCATGATTGTTGTATGCACTTGTGTGAATATCTGAAGAATGAGCCCGGAGAATCCAGTCCCCAAAACCGGCRCAGCCATAGTTCAGAATATGGATATATACATGTGTTAATGATCAGGACTGTACCCTGCATTGATCTGTCAGTGGAGGGGGTGGAAGAATGCAGCACTGCAGCAGTTTGTGAGTGGAGATACAGCATATTATCAGCGTGACACTGAGACACATTGACTAATTGATCAGATAAAAACTAACTGATCCATGCAGACTTCCAKTTATCTTGCTGAAAGCTTCCTAGCTTCCAAAAAAAAAAAAAAACTGCACTGATGTCTGGAATTTTGCTGTTGTRTTGCCAGTAACTTATGAGTAGTCCAAAGTAGAACAACAACCAATAATTAAAGGCCTAACATTCATGGAAGGAATGCATATCACCCACTGCATTTCATGTCACAGTTTTAGACCAAGCTAAAGAMAATAACTAGCAGCTAAGCTCTCTTAATTAAATGCACTGATTAACTAATCATCATCAGTGTGACCACCTCTGTACCTCTGTAAAAGTAGGTGATTTTTATTCCATTTATTGCTCTGGAGCATAGAGGTGTGTATAACACAATGCCGAGATGGAATGACGACAACATTAATTTATTAAAAAAAGCAACTGAGAGGTATTGCCTTTGGTTTAAGTTACTGTTGAAATTGCTTTTATGCCACACCCCCACACTCCAAAACCACTTGTAAAATAATTGTATGTTTTATATTGGAGCAGGTGCTGTGAATAACTGTCAGCTATTCACAAGAAATTTTAGTCCAAAGATTCACTGAGTTATGATAATTATTGTGTAGGCTAAGGTTCATTATCTGWGGCAGCCATCTTGAACTGGGGTGGCTCTAAAAGTCAATTAGTTGTAAATGTACAGTGAATAATTACTTTCTGAGAGTTTCATTATATTTTGTTAAGTGGTTCATAAAATATATTTTGATTGGTAATAGTGGAGACAAATTAAAACAGACATAACCAAAACATTAACACACCTTGGCTATATAAGACTATTATTCACATATGGAAAACATTCAAGACCCATGGGAGTTTTGTTTTCTTTTCTTTATTTTATTCATTTCATTAAAAACAAAACTAAACAATATACGCAACAAAGGAAAAATATATAAGTAAAATGAAAGGCAGCAGAGGGAAGAAAGATATCTTGATATCTGCCCCCTTTTTTCCCCAAGAATAAATTAAAACAAAAGTAATTTACAAAAAACAAAAACTAAACAAAAAAACAAAAACAACATTCAAATCTTGGCAAATACCAATTCATATAGATGCACATTATTCCATTTCACATTTCTTTACAAACCAACTTTTAGCATTTTCTAAAATAGAAACATTGGCATTTTTAGGTTTTTGCAGGAGTTTTCTTAAAAGAACATGGCTGTTCTCCACATTTATCTCATCCACAGCAGCAGATCTACAACAGTGGAGTATCAGAACGTCACCCAGGAACAGAAATCCTCAGTGTTTGTATGACGTCACTTTTCTGTTTACCTGAAAGTCCCGTGGAGAGTGGAGCACAGGCACATGCAGACCATGCATACCACATTGCTTTGTAAAAAAGCAGGTACGCCCTCTTTCAGGTCTGACCGGTTCACCGTGTGCAGCCACACCTCCAGCTTTAAAGTGAAGCWCCCACTCACATTCACACAGCTACACACACAGCAGGGGGGGTGCCATTAATGATTAATGCCAATGGTGCTAAGACTGACAAATGTATCATTCTGCCTGATCAGCATTTCAAGTCAATCTAAAAGTTTAATCAACYCCACCTCATCGGCATAAACCTGGTCTGTCTGAGAACACTGGTGTAGTTATGCAAATGTTTGGTTAAATTAGCTACAAAATGCAAAATCACATCATATCATAGCTATTGTGACTTTCTGTATATATTTTCAGGAAAGCTTTTTCTTTTCAAGCCTTAAAAAATTAATAAAATACAGGCCTTCAACAAAGACTTTTACCTCTTGCTCTAGTCTCCGCGCTCTCTGAGTGATCAGCTGATATGTTACCAAGTATTAACTGTTTGAGAGAACACCACTGCAAAAAAAAAAAAAAAAAAAAAAAAAAGACCAGACTATCACTTTAACACCCAGCTTTACACATTTTGCTTTTGTTTGCCTTTTTATATGCCACTGAAAAGCCTATCTGACACTTCTAGTGTGTTTTATTGGGTGCCAACACGTGGGGTTTGAAACATGCTTACTACAATGTTGAGCTTGTTGTTTGTTTCGCACAAGAACACTTTGAAAAAAAAATCATGTACATTTTATAATAAATCATGCCATTGGATCAGAAATAGTGTGCTGCATCTTTTATGTCATACAATGTGGACCAAATTTCCAAAAATAAAAATAATCGATGACAATGTCAGTGAACCAAGGAAGACAACCCAGCCCTCTTTGAATGATCTTTGCTTAAAAAATTAGCACAAACTGAGTAAACTAGGTCTGTTAGACTGCAAAATATGTGACAGAACAATCGACAAACTTTAATGAAACCTTCAGAAAGTAATCACTGGATCTACAACTGAATAACATAGAATCAATTAAATTTCAGATGGCCATCACAGCTAATATAATATTGGTCAAGAGAAAAATGGCTATAACTCTATCAATTTTACTGATCCTGAACTAAAATAAGGAATGACACAAGATCTTGCAACACTGAATGGAATGAGATTGTCCTGATGCATCTCAGTAATCCAGGTAAAAAATTAAAAAGAAAAAAAATTGTATAGGTCTTCTGGACGGGTTCTTCTTTAATGAAACGTTTCGTCTCTCCTCCAAGAGACTTCTTCAGTCTGAGAGTTTCAGGCAAAATTCAGGCTTTTAAGCCCTGCCTCCATGTGACTGATACTCACATCACATGGCTATCATTGACATCTRATTAACACCTATTGTTAACAGGGGGTGGAGTGATACTGGCAATGGCCGCACTGTAGGAGAGGGAGGGGGACAAATGGAAAYGGAGGCCCCCACCTCTGTTTAATGATGGACGGTCTTTCTTCACAAAAATGGCTTCTTTTACTCCTCTCTCAAACCAACGTTCCTCTCTATCAAGAATGAGAACATCCTCATCTCTGAAAGAGTGACCGCTGGCCTGTAAATGAGTGAAAACTGCAGAGTTCTGGCCATTAGATGTAGCTCGTCTGTGTTGGGACATTCTTTTGAACAGTGGCTGCTTTGTTTCCCCGATGTATAACTGGTCGCAGTCCTCCTGGCACTTAACAGCATATACAATATTGCTCTGTTTGTGCCGGGGCACCGGATCTTTGGGGTGAACCAGCCTTTGCCGTAATGTGTTTTGGGGTTTGAAAGCTACTGGGACATCATGTTTAGAAAATAAACGTCTCAGTTTCTCCGAAACACCCGCAACATACGGAATAACCACTGGTTTGGGTCTGGGTTTGGGGTCTTCATTTTCACCTGAAGGTTGCTTGGAATCCTGTCTGTGTTTCCTGTCTGCTTTCAGGAAAGCCCAGTCAGGATAACCACACTGCTCCAGGGCCTGTCGTGTGTGTGATTTCTCTTTCTCCCTGGCTCCTGGGTTTGTAGGGACACTGTCTGCTCTGTGGTACAGAGTCCTGATCACTCCTAACTTGTGTTCCAGTGGGTGGTGGGAGTCAAAACGCAAATATTGGTCTGTGTGGGTGGGCTYACGATAYAYGCCAGTTTCCAACCGTCCTCCATATGAAACCGAGACATCGCAATCCAGGAACGCCAACCTGCCATTTTTTTACATCCTCTCGTGTGAACTTAATAAATTCATCCACCGAGTTGATGTGATCAGTGAAATGTTGGACTTCCTGGGCTTTAATTTTAACCCAGGTGTCGTCAACATATCTGAACCAATGGCTCGGTGGCACCCCTGAAAAGGACATCAAAGCTCTCTTTTCCACTTCCTCCATGTACAGGTTTGCAACAATAGAAGAAACTGGGGATCCCATGGCACACCCATGTTTCTGCCTATAATATTGCCCCCCGTACGTGAAGCAGGTTGACTCCAGGCACAGTTTGAGGAGTTGGCACACTTGTTCTGTGGAAAGTGTGGTTTCCTCAGCAGCAGTACCATAGGTTTGACCAAAACAACTACAACACAGTCCTTTTGCAACATAACATGATCCTAATCTAAAACTCTGACAAGGTTTTATTTCAGGAAAAAAATAATAATTAATTTAATAAACGCTGTCAGCTATTTGAAAGTAAAATAATGAAATCAAGGAGCAGAGTGCATGGCGTGGGCGGGGCTTCCGTCGTATGCCACGCCCACTTTCTCCCCCACTGGCTTCCAGCAGGTAGGTCTACACGGAGTGGGTGTGTGAGCAGAGAAGTGAATGTCCCAGGTGATGCCACTCCTGCCTCTGCACCCTGACAGCTCCGTGGAAAATCTTTCTCGCACACGACACGTCGACCAGCGAAGCGAGCAGAGCAGCAAACACTGAGCTACACCTGTCCTCCGTCAGGTGACCGACCACCAGCACCATGTCCTCCTCTTTGATGAAGCCGAAGAAGTCTGGCAAGGCGACTTTAACGGATGCAAAATCAACATCGTAAGTAGGCTAGTTGTTTTGTAATTTGGGRTAAGCAGCTTGTCTGTGTTTAAACGCCATTTACACAGAAATGAAAAGAAAAAAACATCACAATTTAAAGGAAAAAAGCTGTGACCTTGGCTCGTTTCTTTGTCGCTAGTTCTGCACTGAACACGTCGTTTTGAGGTAAAGTTAGTCGTATTCACCGTGTTTGGAGTTGAGGTGTATTTTTTACCTGCGTAGTTTGGAGGTGGCTGTCTACAGCAGGCTAATATTTGCTGGAGCTGAAGCACATTTAGTCTGAATGAATGTTTAATGAAACAATCGGGAGAAAACTGCTGGTTCTGTTTCATAATAACGTGCTTCAGCTGCAGCGTGGGTGTGGCTGATAAGCTGCCTGTCATAAAGTTGTTCTAACTGGTTTGATAAGTTTTCTGCTGTCCTGCCTGAAAGGACAATGTGACAGGAATGTGTCTTCACCCCTCCCGTACTGCAGCCCATCACTTTCTGTGGGACTGTATGCGATACTGCACAAKTCGGTATCGATCCCACACCAAGCGAACAGGGCCAGTATCACTGGTATCGACTCAATACTTGGGCAGCCTATTTTGTTTGACATAGGGAAAGCAGCATGCCATGTTTTATTACCARTATCCTGAATCTGAATATATTTTCATACATTATTTATTTGCAGACAGCATCAGACTGAAGATTCTCAATATTTTGTGGCATTCATTTACTCAGTGGCATAGGCAGTATAGGCAAATGCTTAAGGGTGCCATCCATGTAGGGGGGAGATGAAAGAAAACAAAAGTATATATTTTAAATCAGTTTAGTTAATTTAGTCTGTAGGATAATCTGGTTAAGTTTCTAAAGTTAATTTGTTTCTGTGGGTTTAGCAGCCTGCTTCGTTCTTACATGAGGATATTTTGTGATAAAATACTGATTTCATGTTTTTGATTAGCAAAATGCTCTTCAAACGGTTGGAAGATGCATAGTTTTGAGTTGATCTTTTACAAAATTATCCTGGGTGCATATACCCACGGACCCCCACTAGAACTGCTTCACTCCACAGCCGCTTGCTAACATAAACAGGTGGTCCTCATTACTGTCAGCAAATGTTGGTTGGTATGAGGTAGACTTCTGGCATTCTGTTTCAAATGAGTTATGTTGTAAAGTATTTTAATTGAACAACTTGTTTTCTAAAGATGAAAAAAAATAATATCAAGCAGGGTTGGGCATAATCGTATCATGTGCGATTAATCGTCAGAAAAACATTTATCGATTATTTTTTGGCACTTGACGATTAATACGATTAATGCCACCGCTTGGTGCTAATCTCCTTTTAAAATAGGATGAACATTAAAAAAAGTTCTGTAATTTATTTATCTATTAACACAATTTAAAAATTGATCTATAGCCTGAAGTCTGTAATTTTGACACAATTTGGAACAGATTTTTACAAAGAGCAGATCTAACCCACTAAATTGGTCATGTGACCAGGGCATAAGGGGACTTTAGGGGATTAATCGTCAAATTAACCATTATCGACTAAATACCACAATTAATCGTGATTAATTTTTTTTTGCCAATATTGCCCAACCCTAATATCAAGACAAAACTATTTAATTTGAGATGTGAAGTTATCTAAATTGGYGGTGAGATTTTGAAAATTGCACAAGGGGCACCACCTGAAATCTTGCTTAGGGCGCCAAATTGGCTGGGGCTGGCCRTGATTTTACCCTCTATTTTTACAAGCCTTCCAGGTTCGGCTGCTGAAAAGCACTCTACCTTAATGCCTGTGGCAAACTCTAGTTGAGATTCGATGAGTTTTATTTGGCCTGGCCATAAAGCTGATGCCTGTGAAGAACCAGGACTGCAGTCTGTCCCTCAACCTTACCTGCTGAAGCTCTTCAGAGTGGTCACGGGTGGTGGACTCTCTCACTATTCTCTTTTTGTACAGTTTCTTGATGAATGATTTAACCAAACTGCTGGAATATTCAGAACCTGGGAAATAATTTTGTATCCAGTGTACTTTTCATTTATCTTTCCTCTGGGTTGAGTTAGTACAGTTARTGCTTCAAAGGAGGTGAATGTGAGCTCACTTGTTGTAATCACTTTTTTACATTGCATATTTTTATTAGTTATATTACCCTGTGGGAATGTGATTTCTTTTGGCATCAAATTAGTTTTTATTTAAATTTAGGTTTTGTAAAAGAAATGTAAATTTTAAATGTACTATATTTGATTTATAACGATAATAACATAACGTTGATAGTGATACTTTACAGTTAATAGTCCGTTGAGATTATTTTGCACTGATAATAGGAAAATTCTGATTCATAATTTCTGACAGTCCACTGCCTCAAAAACAAAACATATCTTTTTTATTCTTGCACAATTCTTTWTTGTATTTTTTATTAGTAGTAGTATCATTGCTAGTCAGTATTAAGTTCGTTTTTTGTGTACTGTCTATAGTTTGTAAAGTAACTAGCATGTGAACCTCTGTACTGATGCTGCTGTGACACCTGAATTTCCCCTCGGTGGGACAAWAAAGGCTATTTTTATTCTATTCTTCTAAAACATCCAAGAGAATGAACACAYGTTTTAGGCACTGTACCTGTTATTGAGACAAGAAAAACAACRGTTTTATTTGAACTGTAGTTTTTAGACTGCTGGTGCACGGTTTATATCAGTTTAGTTTTTATTGTGCTTTCTATGCTTCTGTGGCCTCTCAGAACCTGATAACMAACCTTACACAGGGATGGAATTCCAATCATGCTGCTCCACCCTTTGCTGTTCTTTTTCATGTAGTTTTTGCAGTCAGGTTTCAGTTGGTTGGGTGTGTTTGAAACAATCGACACTAAAACAAACGTACATAACTGGGATCTTAAGCTGGAGAGGTGTGATCTCTGGCAGAGCCTGTGTGAGCTTCAGGACAAAGCTTGTGAGTCAAGGCCTCGCAGCGTCGTAAGATGTGACTCTCAGTGACTACACCTTAGTTTATAAGTTGTAGCTATACATTTATTTCCTGGAAGTTTTCAATAAATTTTGTTTAAATTTTAAACAAATACCTTGTAACCTGTTAAGACTCAGAACATGTCATCGGAATCAAGCTCAGCTCAGCTCAGCTCTGTAGAATGATTTGTCAACTTTTGTGTTTTCGAAAGTAATTTTTTTTGCAGTGGTGGCCATCTTGAATCCTCTTTAATCAGTTGCAGATGCAACTCCAATTATTTACTGTCAGTTTTATCCATATCGTTCAGTGATTCATGAGATATTTTGCTAACAGACACATAAACACACAAATGCACATATAATAAACTATTTATTTATATAGCACCTTCCAACAATGCCTTGCATTRGCCAAAGTGCTTCACAAAACAAACAAAAACAAATCACAATATATCAGTACAAGTTAAAAACACAACTACAATAAAAGAAGGTAAAAAATTATAAACTGCTAAGAGCTAAAC